TTTTATGATTATTATCAATGTTGGAAACAGTTCATATTTGTGTGAAAACTGTCATACATTTTATTTTTCAGGATTCTTTGATGAATAAAAAATTCAAAAGAACAGTATTTATTTGAAATAGAATATTTTGTTACATTATTATGCATTTACTGTCACTTTTGATCAATTTAATGAAACCTTACTGAATAAAAGTATTAATTTCTTTCCCAACATTTTTTAATATAAATTCTTACTAACCGCAAGCTTTTGAATGGTAGTGTATAATGCTACAAAAGTTTCTATTTCAGATAAATTTTGTTCTTTTGAACGTTCCATTCATCAAAGTAAAAAAAAAAAAAACCATCAAAATAAAATTTTTTTTACACAACTGTGTACAATTATTCAACGTTGATAATAATCATAAATGTTTGTTGAGCATCAAAGCATTATATGAGAATGATTTCTGAAGGATCATGTGATGAAGACAGAAGTATTGATGGTGAAAATTCAGCTTTAATCACAGAAATAAATTATATTTTATTGTATTATCATTTTAAATTGTAATAATATTTCATAATATTATAAGATTAGTATATTTTGGATCAAATCAATGCAGGTTTGGTGAGCAGAATATACTTTTGAACAGTAGTGTACATACAACAGAATGATTCTAGCTTTATTTACCAATACTTACCCTAGAAATAGCTGGATGATAATGTGACACTGTGATAATAATGCTTGTTCCAAAAGACTTGATTAAATGCATGAAACTAGTTTATTAGATATTAAACATAAATTGTGACCATACTATGGGGTGATTTTAGTATCAAAATGATTAACACGTGCAAGCACACTTATCAATGAACTTGATACATGTTGCAGAAATGTTTTATCCATGCCTTTCAACTTGTGTGTGCAAAATTCAAAATTGAATGAATGTGAAGCAATTTGTACAAATAGAGACATTTTTGTGAATACAAATGTTTTCCTTTGTATTAGTGTATCATAATTTGCACATGCAACACAGAAGACGTGCATGTGTGGATCAGGTGACCCGCGTGCATTCATTGACTCGTTTCATTGAGTCGATCCTATTTAATTTCATTTGGATTTTGAGAGTTTCATTTCGCGGTTTTCGCCTTGCACGATCCACACACAGCTGTCTGAGAAAAGCTGCTACCACTAGATGGCAGTATTCTGCTAAAACAGACAACGGCAGCATAATCAAGCGTTCTTCCGCATTTAAGACGCTTAATGAGAGTGATATTGAAGCACCAAATTTAGTACACAATAATATAGGCCTACCCTATTAATAAAGCATACTTTATAGAGGCAAACATTACGTCAGATTATGAACAACACCCATAGAAAACCATTATAAAACGCTTAACGTGCAATCGCGCGTTGCATGTTCAGTAAGGTGTTTTGGCTACTGAGTTTAAATATCACCGTCTTACTGCATTGACGTTAAGCTTTTTCTTTTATAATATGCTCTATGGGAGGAAAACTATATAGCCTACAGACAAGAGACTACATGAACGCAACGCACGGCGTTTCAAGTTAATAACATTTCCTTCCTGTTAAAAAAAAGGTGAAATTTCGCAGTTGTGTTCATATTATATGCTTATTTTTATCTGACTACACATTGTGTACATAGTATACAAGCAGGTATTTGAAAATGTCTGTTTTTAAATATTAAAGACGATTTTCGCAGTACATTTGTTTTCCCTTGACCCTTAAGCCATAGGCTATAGTCTTACTATAGCACGATGAGTTTTAACAATATGCAACCATTGTATATCGACATGAAATATTAATTGAAAATCAACTGGCGTAGCGGGCCTGTAGCTGCATATTTCTACATAAGAATGCTTTGACGCGCTAACCACAGCTCATGATGCACAAGGGAAAGTCTGCCAATTCCACTAACTGCGTTAAAACCACTGATCTATAATGTCATTCTATATAGATCAGTGGTTAAAACGTATAATTTGTTTTAATTCAAATTACTTTTTAAATTTAATAACAGACATTTTCAAATTCCAAAGCTCGTAGAAGGTTTCTGTAAGACTGACTTAGAAGTAAAATTTGGACAATACTTCCGTTCATGTAGCCTGTATTCTGCAGACAAATACTGTAATTCACCAAAAGGGTTTTTTCATGTTCAAAATGGTTGTAGTATGTTCAGTGACTAGACTGGCTTACTACAGGTGAAATTGCCCCAATAACTCCCTTCATGTAGCGTATTTAGTAAACAATTATTATTTTATAAAAAAATTACTGTAATTAACCAAACGGGTTTTTGGTGACTTACTACAAGTGAATAATGTAAAATTTCACCTGACTTGTCACTAGGAACGTACTACAACCTTTGGAACATGAATAGAAAAATAATTTACAGTAAATTAAACAATTGTAGGCTACTGTTCAATCGAGATATTGGCTGGACATAGTACAGTAACAGTAGGCTAAGTCAGTCTGCCCACTAGACTTCCAAGGTTATAATATAACCTTGGAAATATGTTCATTTGAATGAATGACTGGACGTTTATATTTTTTTGACTGTGAGTGGAGTTTGCAGATGGTCCCTTTATAAAATGAGGCGAATATCAAACCTAAGACTTACTTCACTGCACTCTCGGACCGGTTGCTCTCCCATTCACATGCAAAGTTAAACGCAACTGCAGAATTTTTATTTCATGTTAAGCTTTTTCTTTTTAACAGGCTCGGGAAGGAAATGTTATTAACTTGAAACGCCGTGCGTTGCGTTCATGTAGTCTCTTGTCTGTAGGCTATATAGTTTTCCTCCCATAGAGCATATTATAAAGAAAAAGCTTAACGTCAATGCAGTAAGACGGTGATATTTAAACTCAGTAGCCAATACACCTTACTGAACATGCAACGCGCGATTGCACGTTAAGCGTTTTATAATGGTTTTCTATGGGTGTTGTTCATAATCTGACGTAATGTTTGCCTCTATAAAGTATGCTTTATTAATAGGGTAGGCCTATATTATTGTGTACTAAATTTGGTGCTTCAATATCACTCTCATTAAGCGTCTTAAATGCGGAAGAACGCTTGATTACGCGGCCGTTGTCTGTTTTAGCAGAATACTGCCATCTAGTGGTAGCAGCTTTTCTCAGACAGCTGTGTGTGGATCGTGCAAGGCGAAAACCGCGAAATGAAAGTCTCAAAATCCAAATGAATCAAATAGGATCGACTCAATGAATCGAGTCAATGAATGCACACGTGTCACCTGATCCACACATGCACGTCTTCTGTGTTGCATGTGCAAATTATGATACACTAATACAAAGGAAAACATTTGTATTCACAAAAATGTCTCTATTTGTACAAATTGCTTCACATTCATTCAATTTTGAATTTTGCACACACAAGTTGAAAGGCATGGATAAAACATTTCTGCAACATGTATCAAGTTCATTGATAAGTGTGCTTGCACGTGTTAATCTTTTTGATACTAAAATCATCCCATACAAAACAGCCTGTGTTTTGGTGGGGATTTTTCAACGATTTCAGTACATACGATTTTTACATAGTTACGTCCAGTAGGTGGCGGGAAAGGGCTGTTATGAGTAAGTCAGTCAGCAGACTATTCAACCATTTCAGTGAAAGAGCCTGCTTTATTCAGGAACAAACAATGCTATGGCTATCAATGTCAATCATTGCTCTTTCAAGAGTGAATCCCGCATAAATGCGGATGTAACGTTAACTCACAAAACTTTGCAGCGTGTACGTGTCCATTGGTTCTTAGCAGGATGAAAAACAAGTTTTATATAAATTCTGAATGGATATTAGAAAGCATAGAAAGCGCACAACGAGCGCTCCCTTTATAATTAACTTACTAAAAAGCCTTTACTCATCTTCATCGAGATCTCTAGCACTAAGTTATCGTAGAACCAGGACTATTAATAATGGAAAATTAGTAACGTAAGCCTAAATGTTTCCAATTTATGCAAGGAATACAAAAGCCCTGACATGGAGTGGATAGATATAATAGGAAAAAAATATATATAGATGGAAAATTACCCCTCAAAAAAATCAGTAAGAAGCTTTCTCTTACCGACTGCGAGTGGAGGTTTATTCTCCATTTAAAAAAAAAAAGCTAAAATTAGCTTCAACGGTCACCGATGTCATGCGCACAAGCGCTCTTTAGATGTGGGGCGGGCGGAGCGTTTACATTTTAAAGGGTAACTAAACACTAAAACAACTTTTTTTAGTTAATTATCTGTAAGAATGGAGCTTCATAAATGCTGTTCATTGATTCGAGTACAGTTTTTGACATTTGGGTATAAAGTGTTTTAATTTTCAAATATATGGTGTAAAAACGTCTGAGTGCTGCCCTCTTCAGGTTAAACGGAAAGCTCCTGCAGTGGAGCTCACCACACCCTTGGCAGCCCAAAACATTTAATACGCCCTTTCCATGGCAACTAGCCAATAAACAAACTTAATATAAATTATTGTAAATAATTCACGAAATTGACCGTATCCATTGCATGCATTTAATCAGATTTGTAATTATTATGTTTTACTAAAATAAAAATATCTGAGGGACCCCCCTAAGTCTTTTTATTTCTGGGGGATCCCGGAGCACCCCTCCCTCCCCCTCAATTCGAGCACTGCCTCAATCTACTTTCAGTGCTTCTAACAAACACATATGAGAAAAGTCCAGCCTGTAAAAACTTACCTCAACTCTCCACGTTAGTTTTAAGGTGAAAAAAAGAGAACAAAACAGAAAAACATGATTCATTCAGTATGGCCAATCAAAAAACTGACTGGTTCACGTGACTGGGTGACAAAAATAGTGTTGCTACATTGGCTTCATGCAAATACTGATGGACTGATATGGCTTTGTAATGTTTTATTATAAAATCAGATGCTCTTCAACATATTTCAGCTTTCCAGACCATAAATTATTTTATAACATAACGTTGTTTACATTGTGATAAGTATTCAAATAAGACACATTAACTGCAGAAAAAAGGACAGGTCACAAAAGATCCTTTTTAGACTCTTTATTGATTTTTTTTTTTTTAAGTTTACACTGGAATGTTCTTTAACATGAATCCCTAATTCGTTATTTTACAAGATTACAAAAAAATCTCTGAAGTCTTTATACCATTCCCCCAATCCACATTATGATTCCATGAAAACCAAAACATTTAATACGCCCTTTCCATCATCAAAATATGCAGAGACATTCAAGGCATTATTTGGAACCAAGACAGCAAGGGAGGCCTCTTTTCTTCAGTGGGGGCATGTGGGGTTGAGACTGAATTTTGGGATGATGATTTGGCAGGCTGGGAACCACTCTTAATGCTGATTTGAGACCAGAGGTCCCTCCCTGAAAACCCATTCACAATCACTGACAGTCAAGAGACACAAATGATCCCGATCCTCCACTGAGCGGCTCTATCTACATCCAACACATTTCAGATAAGAATGAGCAGGTTGCCTTTTAGCAGTATGAAAGTCCAAGCCTGTAGGTCCTGCTTTCAATAGAAAACATGATATAAACCAGACAAACTGAGCTCTCATTTTTGAAGCACCGCAATGCTTTCAGCTTAAATTAAACTACTCGCTGTACTATATGTTGTTAATGGCTTTAAAAGTTTTTTCCATTTTAATTGTTTGTCAAATTGCCCTCAGATGTCCATGATACTGGAAACAAAGTTTTGAAAATGAATACTATATGTTCCATTTCCTTACAGGTTGGCATTACTACACTAAAGCAACGTAAAGCAAGAAAACAGCGAGTTAGACAAAGATCCAAGCACAGATTTAGTTCTTAAACATGAGAGATGTCAAACAGGAGACTGAAACGGGAGATGAAATATATTTTAGACAAAACAAGAAGTATGAACGACATAAAGAAAGACGAAACTATGACTACAGACATTTCAGGATATGGACGAAAAGGCTATTGCAAGCAAGGGACAACAATCTTCTAGTGTTTCAAAAAAGTTAGTTCACAGCACAATGAAAAAGAAACTTTAGAAAACCACAAACTGAAAGAAATGACATGAGCAACTTGACCCTTACAGTGAAGGTATATGAACCATCAATTCAAATATATACTGCCATGATGGCATCAAATAAATAAAGCTCCACCAGCCCACCTCCCTCCTGATAAAGTCTCCATTTTAGCCCCAACCCTCGCTGATACTCACTGGTCTTTATGAAGAAAGTTACTTTGTGAAACAAATTTGGTACAAGTACAGCCAATATTGCCAGCAAAGTCTAAAATGACTTCATTTTCTTTTTGGGGGATAAAAAAAGTAAGCAGAATCCCATTAAAGTACTGCTGAAGATGATAAAGATTGCATCGTCCCTCCATTTGTATGTCTCTCCCTTCTTTTATTTATATGAATGTTTTCAGTCCATTTATCTGCTCTTCTGTCAAGTTGGGTGGAATTTTGTTAGTGAAGTTTCCTTTTATAGTATTTCATACTTGTCGACCACAAATGATGTTTCTGTGGAGAACCGAACCGGGCTGTCCCCATCCACTTGAGAAACCTTAGTGACCTGACAGGAGAGAACATGAACAAAGAGAAAAGAGGGAAAAAGTGAGTTTTCAACAAAAAAAAAAGCATTTAAAGGGGTCATGAACTGCATTTTTTTTATAACTTTGTTTCCTAAGGTGCACGTAGTTATAATGTTAGTATGATTTATACATAATTTTTTTGGTCAATTTAGAAATAAAAGGCCATTTTCGACCCTAGTTTTAGCCCTCTGATTTAAACGGCGTGTCTGCTGTGAGACTTCACTGCTTTGATTGGCTAACATCTTTGCATATGAACTAAGTTTGAGAGAATTCCACATGTAATGCTATGTTTTTACTATTACAGCTGTCAACATTATGTCAATGTTTACAACATTATATTTAGATCATCTCCCGTGACATGAAAGTTTGCAGCGATGAGCATTGTGGCCGATGACAGACATGTCTGTTGAGCGCATGAATGCAGTGATCTCGTCATTGCAACTCGATTTCTGCACTCTCACGAATGCTTTCATCATAACTAAATGAAAACACGATGTAAATAAGAGATTTATTGTGCAGTGTAGACAGCGTCATTGATTATAACGGGAGTTTTGGCCAGAGTCACTGATAAACTCACGCTGTTTGATTGACAGCTCCAATGATTATAACGGGAGCGTTCTTTGACCGCTTTCTGTATATAATTTGATCACAATTTAAAATAACATTTTCATGCTACTACGAGAAACAATGTGAAGTTTACCATTTAGTCACTGGCTTGATGGTGACGCATAAACGGCAATAAATGATTTTGAGACAAAGAACGTCTGACTGTTCATGAATCATTACATATCAAAAATCACTGATCACATATTAGGCATTAGAATGACCATGGTTTCTTGCATGTTGTGGCATTACTTCCGGGTCCATATCTTACAGTCTGTTTGCAAAGCCTGCACCAAAATGCGACTGATTTGCCAAAGAATCGACAGTGAAATGTACCAAACAAACAAATATTGCTCCACTGAGACATTCACATATTCGCATAAATTACCACTTTCCTAGTATTAGGATCCTTTGGAAGATAATGTTATTTTTAGTCCAGTGATCAAACATCTCTCTTCTCTCCTTCTCATCTCACTAACGTGCCTGTGGGTGGTTTGACGCACTATTACATTATAATGTGACAAAATCCGATGAGAGTAATTTTTGAGAAAGAGCTTGGTTTCAATAAAAGCTGTTTTTGGACTAACAAGAAAGTTTTGAGTTCTGAAACTTCCAGGATGTTTTTATAGTACAATGACCTCTTATATGTCAAAAGATCATTTGAAGAAAATTTTAATCCCTAACCCAGGGTTTAACAAACTTTTTTGATAGCCCCCTCAGGGCTCAACAATAAAGACTGTCACTGTCCTGATCGGGCCAGTGCTGCATCGTCACGAAAGTTTATCATTAGCATGTGCTTTTAAGTCTTCCAAAATTAAACATTTAATTGCAAGAAGCAGCGAAAGAACTGTTTGGTATTGCACACTGTGTGAGAAGTCAACCTTATTTATTACAATGCAAGGTTGCATGGGTCAAAAACAATGAAAACAACAAATATTTTCCTTTTTTTTTTTTTTTCATTACTTTTTTGTGGTGGGACAAATAAAAATTTGATCCAACCAGGCCAGTAGAAAAAAAATCCTTTAGAGTTGAGCTCTGCCCCCTATGATTTAAAGGTAATATTTAAATATTTTAACAGCACATTCATGGTTCTCTGATTTCAGTTAATGGTCATGCATGCAGGTAAAAAGTTTTAACTTTTTAGCGGGTGTTATCGAAAATGATTTTATTTTTAAATAATTTATTTTACATTTAAAATGTTATGATTGTATTGATTATTAACTTGTAATTAGTTCATGAACCCCCTGCAGCTCCGTAACAAAACATGGTTTGGGAAACCATGACCTTTTGTTTTACCTGAATGTCACAGTAGCTTCCCTTGGAGACAAAGGAGACACTGACAGGGAAAAAGTCATTGGGCTGGCCATTTATGCTGAACTCCATGCTACCGGTCTTATTCTTTACATCGATCACGGGAAGAGACCACTCCAGGACATTTCGTCTGTTGTCATGGCGATATTCTCCATCTAGATCACCAATCACAGGAGCTCCTACTCCAGACCTGTGATGAAATAGTTTCAATGGAAAAATGTAAATAAACCAAATGACCCCAAGATGCTTCATTACAAACAGGAAAAGCAGAAGGTACTTTAATATGGAGTATAATGTGAGTGAATTAGGGTCCCGAACTAAATTCAATGAACTTCTACTCACGGTACAGGAATAGAGATGGCTACATCATTGAGTTCCAGAGTTTCATCCTGTAGCTCATACTCGATGTTTACATCACAGCCGGTACCACTCTCAGAGGGCCAGCAGTTTACTGCAGAGATGAAACAGACAGGAATTGGATGAGAATAGGTCATTTGACACTATGGGTGAGACAAACTGTTAGCTTTATTGGTATTACTGAAACCAGATGTTTAAGACTGACTTGTTAGTGGAATGAGAGATTCCTCTGTGGTCTGTAGTCTCCACTTTAGCACACCGACGTCAGTTTTCAGGGGGAAAGATTTGTCAGGGTTTTTCAGACCAATCACGGACTCCGCTGTGAAAAGTTTTTTGTCCACATTGGGATGGGTCTACAAGAAAAGAAAAAAAAGGTTGGAAGAGTGTTACACACTTCTATAGTTTTCTATTTTCTTTTCTTAGTAGTTTTAGAATACATAGAAACATTTAATAGTTTTCAGTTTTGGTTTGTGTTGTAGTTTAGTTTTATTTCATTTCATTTCGGTTTCATTTTTTATTCGTTTTAATAGGCCTTACTCGTTTTTTTTGCACTACAAACCAATGACTATACCAATACATTTGATTTTTTTACAAGAAGCATCATATTCAGAATTATTAGGATGTGCCAATGCTGCTACATTTAGAAAAACGTCACCTGCAACTGGACGCCTCTCTTGTCATCATTGCTGATATTTAGCCTAATTCGCCCATTCTTCTCATCAGACACTCTGAGGGTAATCATGCCAACCACTTCCATGTTCTGGAGGCCACCATCACGGCCACACGTCAGGGTGATCTTTTCCTCCACCCGCATATGCACACTGAAAATTAGACAGAAATTGTTTAGATAATTGTAAAATTTTGTTGCAAAACGATCCTATCTTAAGACAAAACTTAGTCCTGTTTCACACATTATGTGTTTGCAGCATACCGGTGCATACAAATAATGTGGCTTTATACAAAAAATAAAGTGATTTCTGGGTTATTATGGCACATTCTTTTTCCTCTGAGAAAAGCAAAAAAACATAAAACCGGAGTGGGTCATTGAGAATTATTTGATTATCAAACTCAAAATCTAACTTACATGAGGAATCCAAATTCAGTTACTCTAAGAAAGTTTTTCTTATGTGCCTTCATTGTTGATGAACAGATACATTTTCACCATACGTTCTGCTGACTTCAGTGTGCAATATGCAGCAAAAATAGGCTCAGTGCTGAAACTCTACTTGACATGCTGCTCAATCGTACAGTGTGAATACTGCAACTGTTAAAGGCCTTGTCCACACTAAGATGTCGTTTTTATGAACGAAAACTAAGATTTTTGAAAACGCTCTCCAAAGTGGATAATTTTGAAAATGCCATCTTTGCGTTGTAGTGTGAACAGTCAGGGTTTTGAAAACAATGCCGCATGTTTAGTCATGTGACGCATATTGTAAAAATAGATATTCATGTTTATATAGGTATTGTGCCTGTTATGCATTCACTTTCACGCAGTTGCTAAAATATGTTACTTTGCACACTCTTCATATCACAGTCCGGCAAAGATGACAGAAAATTCAGTTGCATTTGCTGTCCTGTGGCAAAACATGAGAGCAGTTGCATTTTAATGGTGAGTGAGTGCGACCTGGATGCATCAGTGAATAGAGAGATATTTTGCTAAATAAAATGATCCTGTCAGAAGAATTGCGTGATAACTTTAATATGTCTTGTTCCGTCATTGTATCATCAGCTTTTAAGAGGGGTTTACGCATGCACGGTTATGTGAATTTGACATGTCGGCCGACGCTGAAAAACTGCCCGACGGCCTATCGTCGGGCTAGTGTGTCCAGGCTTCACATGCTGCTGATCTGAGATGTGCGAAACAGGTCTTAATCTGAAACCAACTAAAGTAAGTAGTACATAATAAAAAATAAAAAAACTATTTCCTTGTCTAACTTGCATTTGTAAAGCCTCACAAAGACGACAATACATTTACAAACCCACAAATGGACCTTTAATGCATTAATGAACAGTAGTGCAATATAAACAGTGATTTTAACCGAATAAGATCATACACTCCACTAATGTTCTATTGATTATCCTCAATCTGATTCTAGCATAGCAAAACAGAGACATATCATTACCTCTCTGTGTGGGTTGGAGGAGGCAGAGATTTGGACGCATCTGAGGGTCTTTTGCCTGTGCCAGGCAAGATGATATTTTCTCCCTCTGACTTGAGTTTGTCCACAAAGTCATCCACCTCCTTCCCCTTGCCAACCAGTTTAAGTGCTTTACTTGGACCACTGGACCTAAAACAAAAGGGCATTAAAAGTGCATCCTGCTGCTTTTTTATACAGGTTAAGGATCACTGTACTCCATTAAGATTATAGCTGTACCTGACGGGTGCAGGGCTGGGTTTGGGTTTCTCAAGCTCGATCAGAGTGTCTGTGATGATGGATGTGTTGCTGCTGCTCATGCCCGAGCTGCCAAAACCACCAAAGCCCGGACCCTTCTTTCCACGCTCTGAATCACGCCGTATCTGCTGAAGTTCTTTAGCCTTTCGTCTCATCTCTGCCTTAGCTTCACGCTCCTGAGTCTGATGAACAATTGAGTGGTTTAGAGTGAAGAAAAGATAATTGACAGTAAAGTGCATCATAATTACTAAGAGCCCTTGCCAGTAGGTTATTCATAAACAGCAAACATATAGCTGCGATTAGGGATGTTAGATTATGAACTCCACACAGCACCTTGTTTCACACATTAGGAACATATTGATCCTCCTCATTTGCATCAATGCTTGTACCTAAGCTATGCAAGTCTAGCAGACGGGAGAATTTTCTAGAATGTCATTAAATGCTGTAGACTTTTGTGGAATTGCCAAATTCAATAATTAGAAGAGGATAAGACAATACTTTAAGAGATGGATGGAAAAAAAAGTTTGCTTTGCTATTTCTCAAGAAATGTCTTTCCTACCTCTCTGACGGCACGGAAAACCTTTTCCTCATGAGAGTCCATTTCTGTGAATGTCCGGATCTGGGCCAAGTTGACATTTTCTCTATAACCGAGTGCAACAATCTCATCGAACGCAAAGATGAGGTCAAAGCAGTGCTCCGAAATCTCACTCTCCTCCAGGACACGGCAATATTCAGGAATCTACCAAAATAAAAGTAAAATGAACAGAAAACAAATCAAGTTCATTTGAAAATTCTGATAGTAACAAAACGATTTGTATTGTGAAAAAGTTGACAAAAGTCAATTTTATTTAATTGAACAACCTAAGATGAACATGTCTAAGTTTCTATTTTGCAAATTAATTAAAACAAGGTAAGATCTACAGAAAAATACTTTACTAATTTCTTTCATTACTAAAACTGATTTTTGGTTTATTTTACAGAAAAAATTAAATTTGCTATTTTATAAATTTGTTAATTGTAACTAAGTTACCTTACTACGTCCAGTGAAAAACTGTAAAATGTTATTTTACACTATCATGTCAAATTCCCTGACTTATGCGCTATAAAAACTGGTTATACGTTTTTTTATAGTGAATTTCAGGTAATGAAAAGTGAACACTGATGTGCATCAAGAAGTGATGAAAAAGTATTTTATTCCACCGTGTATGCGTTTTCTTTCGTACCACACGTGAGAAGAGACGCAGTGTCTCCAGGTCCTCCAGTATATTACTGTTCTTGGTGGTGACCAGCACCATGTAGAGCTTTTCCAGAGGCTGGTAGACGTAGCGCACACTCTCCGTCTCCACAAATGTGTGCTGTTTGCCTGTGTTCATCAGCTTGGGAAAAGCGGCCAGCAGACCCTCCACTCGCGTCCGTGTCATCTCCACAAACTGCCGCGACACCAGGGCCTTACCTGCCTTGGTGCAGATTGCTGCAGCCAACAGCACCTGGAGAAGAGTTATTGAACAAGAAATTTAGGGAGCCATTTCAACAAAAAAAATTCAAAACGGCCGTACGCATGGATTTATGCCAAAAGAGTAACACTTGAACTTGACGCACAACGTAATGACGGCAATTGACCATAGACAGTAAAAGAAATCGACACAGCGACCCCATAGACTTCAACGGAGAAAAGTGAAGTCCATTAGAAGCACTCACTTTCTGATGGCTGAGCGCACTGCGCAGGCTCCAACTGAGCTTGACGACGTAGATGTGACGTGAGCAACCTGTCTCACAGTTGTCCGTCTTCTAGTAGCTGTGCCAAGACAAATCTGAATCATTCCCTTCCGAATCTTGCAGAGACTGAGAGCGTGAGTATTAGCTGTCCATGAGCTGGCAGCAGGATCAACTTTATGACTCTCTATGGGCTTCTCCCTTGACTTTATCGGACGTTATGCCTCCACGTCCCCCCGATTGCCCGCGAACTTCTCCTGTCTATACGGTAATTTCTCTACTGTGCGACAGAGTCGTGTTGGTTATGACACAATTGTTAGCCTATTTTTACAAAATCTGCTTCTACGGGCCATACGTAAGATACAAGGTAATGGAGCATTTTATATATTGTCGTGTTTCTTTATAAATAAACAATGGACAAATGGAGTCTTTAAACGCCTCAGATGTAAAGTTATTTGCTGTCAAAGTGACGCCAAAATGAATGGGAGTCAATGGAATGCTAACAGCAGGTGAGGGCTTGCTAATCAATGGCGGCCCCCAGGGAAGCTTCGGTTTCCGGCTGATGGATTACCCCCTTGCAATTGACGCCTCTCGCGGTTCAAACAAACAGGGCTGGGCATTACTTTGTGAGTCAAGTTCAAGGGTTACTCTTTTGGCGTAAATCGATGCGTACGGCCGTCTGCCGGAAGATAGTTATTTTAGTCGATAAAGTATTAAATATGGATATTTTTCTTACACAAACCCATCGCTTAACTTCAGAAGGCCTTTATTAACCCCAGGAGATGCGTGGAGCACTTTAATCATGAATGCATTCGCTTTGATAGACTTCCAAAGACATACACCCATTCACTACCATTGTCAAGCTTGGAAGAGCCAGGACATTTTTTAATATAACTCCAATTGTATTCGTCTGAAAGAAGAATGTCATTTACACCTAGGATGGCTTCAAGGTGAGTAAATCATGGGCTAATTTTCATTTTTGGGTGAACTATCACTTTAAGAGTAAACATTCACACGTTTTCCAGCACATCAAGCTCTAAATATCCAATTTTAATTTTAATGTGAGGATTTGAAAAAACTAAAGGTTTAAAGATGTAGGAAAACTAAATCTTTGTGGCAAACAAACAATTTGATTAAAAAAAGACATGAAATTACAACCAGCATTTGGCGGCAGAGGAGCACTTACTGACTTTTTAGCCATTTCCACTCCCTAATATATGGAAAAAAGTAGGAAGTCTCAAAGTCTCATGAACAACAAAAACTTTTCTTCAAACTGTAACTGAATTACACAAAAAACTAGTGATGCACCCGATTCCGAGACCGTTTTTTTACAAGCATACTGGCAGATTCCGATACAGATTTCTGTGGTGTTGTTTTTTTTCTTTAACCCTCTGGGGTCGGCTATCGCTCCGGCGCAACGAGCTCACTTTTTTCCTTATCAGTGCAAAAGAGACTCAAATTACTCTGTTGATTTTAAACTTACATATAAGTGTTCTACATAGGGATGCACGATGATATCGGGACAACATCGGTATCGGCCGATAAAAGCTTAAAATGACCATCATCGGTATCGGCCGATATGAATATTTCTGCCGATGAGCCTTGGCGATAGGGTGACGTGTTTCCTATGCGCACGTGACGACCGTGAACGAAGCATGAGCACCAGCAACTTAAACGTCCAACTAGGGGTGTGCGTCTCACACGGTTTTTGATCGTGGATGATTAAAATGTCTCCACGATCTGCTTTTGAAGAAAAATCATAGTATCGTGCATTCTATCAGTTCAATTCTGGCGCCTTCATCTCAACATACTGTACAACGCGACGTACATTCACATCACATCACATGATGTAAACATAGAGGTAGAGTTACACTCACGGGACACTGCAATTCACAAAAGTTCATTATTTGCATGTGCGTCAAAGTCTTGCTAGTTAAACATGTCATTCACGTGCTGATGCGCTGTTCTAACATGCACTTCTCTGAGCGCGTTACACCCGACACTCACAGGAACTAAAAGGCTGTCACAGCGCCTGCATACTGGACTAACGTTAATCTTTCGAGTCTTATTGCGCTGATAATGTCAAATACACACAAGATTTACATAAACAAAGTTGGTTATGTCTAAAGTGAAAGCAAACTTTCTGTGTGTATATTAGACGCGTCGCATGCAGTTATTAAAGAGACAGTAATAATATGCTGCCGCTTGTCCTTAAAGAGATACTGCACCCAGAAATAAAAATTCTGTCTTCATTATTTACTCACTCTAGTGTTGTTCCAAACCTGTATTCATTTCTTTCTTGTGCTTAAATATACTATGGAAGTCAACAGCAACTGTTTGGTTAGCCACATTCTTCCAAATAACTTTTATTTTCAACAGAAGAAAGAAACTTGAGAGAGTAAATGATGACAATTTAAATTTTTGGGAGAACTATCCCTAATGTTAATAAAACAACAAAAAACAGAGGAAATCACTCACTGCTCTTGACTGACAACTTTAATAGAAGCTTTAATAAGCTTTTTTTGCACTTAAAAAAATCCAAATATATCGGTATCGGGCAAAACTAGTTTGAAAATATCGGCATATCGAATATCGGCCAAAATCCAATATCGTGCATCCCTAGTTCTACATCATTATATCCTGTTAAGTGTCTATTTTTTTGTGGATACTCACAATAAAAACAGTGTTCTGATTTTTGTCAAATAAAGAAAAATAAACATGATGCGAATTTTGCCTTCTCTCTGTAAGTGAAGTTCATTCTGAAACGCGTCCCAAAATGAACTAACTCAGTAAATACTTGTCACACAGGCACGAAAGATTTTTCGTTATGAAGCTGAAATTCTCTTCTTTTAAATTAAGTAATTTTTATAAAAAACAAATATTCTCAGTTTATGTAATGTGTATGAAAAGAGAGAGATGTCAGTCTTTTTCCTTTCAGCTAATTATAGCGTATGACGTGTTAATGTGACCACGCCCACTGAGAGCGTGCGCTATTCAAACGCAAATGTTGAGGCAAGCCATGAAAACGCCCACATCAGCTGGATAAAACATCCAGTTTAATAAGAATCTTGTACTTTACCTCGTCTTGCTGCGCTGTGAGGAATAATACTATCGTAATAATCCTGGAAAAGTTACCTCAGAAGTGCTAGTAGTTACATTTCGAGGAGCACGGATCCAGCTGATGCAGTAAGTTATTTATTCTTAAGTGCTTTGTTCTAATCGCATTATTGAATAGTAGGGGTGTAACGATTCATTCGTTTTCTCGATGCATCGATTACAAATCCTGATGATGCATATGCATCGATCTTGAAACATGTATTTCGAATTGTGAATCGTTTATTTCGGTCAATATTCGATTTAAAATGCTAAGAATCGAATAATTTGCGATTCTATATCGATTCAGTCCTTTAAAACATAAAAACAGTCATTAAATGACTACATGCGCGAATTATGAGGCGTTGTGCGGCGTCATTTCGCGTCCTCACAGCTCTCACACATACTCGCTGCACTCTTACCATCTTTCACTGGATTTCGCTCGCGCTCGGTCCCATATAGCTCTCATCTGCAGATTTTTGAGCAGTCCGTGTTTGAGCTCTCCTCAGGACAGCCATTGGTGTTCACATGAGCAGATGACAGCTCTCTATCGAGAAAGCAAGCCATTGATAAAGCTGCCATATCATTGCGCGGTCACTGCTATGAAACAACGCGTTCGTTGCGTGGAAACGTCACCGTTATTTTCTTTAAGATAAGATACTGAAGTTTTACGGAAATGGGTCATACCCGTCCTGAGCAGTTAAAGTAAAACCCCACTTATTCAAGGGTGCGCATTTATTACATGGAAAGAGAAAACGTATAATAGGTGTCTAAAATGTACACCGATTAATCATGAATGATGAATGAAATGTAACTTAATGTCATTAAACTGAACTGATGAAATAACTACAACATTAATTACACTGAAATAAGAGCGCGTGGTTTATCCATCAATCAGATGCGCATTAAAGTTGCATTCGTAATCGTTAATATAGCACAAGTAGACAGCCGGCGCGTTTTCTTTCAGAATCACAAGGAAAATGTTCAGTCGGATAAAGAGAAAACAAAGAGTATAGCTATTCCATGAGGAAACGTTAGTTAAGCTTTTAGTTGGGAAAGTTCATGGTATTTTTAGTCTCACAATGGAAGGATGTTTAATGTTGGAACACTTTAAGGTTGTGTATCCATTCCTACAAAATAGTTAGCATGATGAACTATACTTTTAAAGCCTTTTTAAATCTTGGTTTACATTTTTACTAATGCTAATTTATAGGCTTTGGAAATATTTTTTATAAGAATAGATTCATTAAAAACTAACATGAACTAACGTTAACAATAGACAAAATGTCGTTGTTTTTCTTTTCTTTCTTTTTGTTCCCACTCTCTGACCCCCGAAGCCAGCTGTATAATTCACACCCTGACTAAGACCCATTGGGGGAAGCATTTAAATAATCCTATGAATGCATATAAAAAATTAAGATTAGAATCGAATTTTAATGTGAATCGCATCGAATCGAATCTTTCTGAATTTGCAAAAATCGTTCTTGAATCGAAAACCTATGAATCGTGAATCGAATCGATTCGCTGCCTACCCAAAGATTCACAGCCCTATTGAATAGTGTCTGTAAACTGCACAAAGACTGTTTAAATATGAATTGAGTGTCTGTGTGTGAATGAATGAATGAATGGCACAGACGCACGCAATGTTGTTTACAGATGTACATCGCATCTGTGCGTTCAT